CCCCCCCCCCCCCCCCCACACACACACACACACACAACACGCACACACCCGCACGCTACGCCCCTGAGGGATGCGGACTGAACAATTCTGGACAATACACCACTGAAGCAAGTTTGAAATAACTGTTTGACGTACATGCAAACTGTGGACAGTTTAATAACCCGTTGTAATTAAAATTTACAACAAAATGGTTTTAATGTTGGAGAGCAAGAGCGCACGAGATACCTTTGGGCAGCACTGGAAAGGTTTGCTAAAAAAGATACACGCTTGGCAAACGCGCGCGCGATTTAGCCAAAGATCGTGGTTTGACGCGGGCCGAAGTGACCTTTTTTGCAAGGACCGTGTTCCAAATGACAACCTTATGCAGGACACTCTGCTACGTATTACAGAATATGTTCCACCCAGTGCTGTAGAACTAAATTTACCAGAGGGGGGCGGGGGCTCTCTTGACGAGCGTGAAGCCGTGAAATCGTAAAAAAATGCGTGACGCCAGGGATCGCGGAGCCATCTTTTGATCGGTGGGGGGGGGGGGTTTAGCGAACGCCGAAGGTATGCCCTTCTGGGGGGGTCCAGAAAATTTGAAATATGAGACCTCTCAGAGCCCCGGAAATGCAATAAAACCTGCTAGTTTCTCTTAAAAAAAGTTTCTTGAACGACTCTTAAGCAAGCCATTATATAGGGGTAAAATTTATTCGCTTAGTACATTTTCCTTGAATAGATTTTTTCTTCGAAATTTAATGCCGTATTTAAGAGTAATTTAAATTGCGTTTTCCATACTTATCGTCCCTACCTTTCTTAGAAATGCTTTTCTGGAAAGTGCGAGCCTACTAATACATAACAAGAAAATAATAAATGGAAACAAACACCAGTCCAGCGTACTAATGAAGACTGAACTATTCTAAATAATTATGTGCAAGGAATAACTTATGTATTTTAAAAAGTCTATGATAGTCCAAACTGACTAATCCTGCTGAAGTTTTTTAAAATTCAAATTAAATATTTTTGTTAAGATTGCAAATGAGATCCTGGTGGGGGGGGGGGGTAAATCCCTCCAGGTCCCCCTGCTCCGCGGTCCCTGATGACGTCATAGATGTTCGAAAATACAGAGCATAAATGCATAATTATATGAAACACTGAAACAAGATAAAGTATCGATTTATTAAGGACGCCATTTTAATAATTTTGATTCTCCTTAATTCATGGAAAAGTAGTCAAGTTTTGTTTAATAGTGTTCTTAATAAATTCTCGATTTTCTAAAGTAGAAGGGGGGCTCAGCCCCCCCAGAGCTTGAAGAAGGGGGGCTCCGCCCCCAAGCGACCCCCCACTTCTACAGCACTGCCTGCAGGCATGTCGGCTTTTGTTGCATATACAGAGTACCTTGGTCTGATTTACTTACTTCAAGCGATCTACTTCTTAATGTAGTTGCGATGAGCGATATCCTTTTCCGAAGTAAGGCACCAAGAAATCGTCCTTCAACATTTGCACCACCAAGTAAGCCGTACAATATCCATCGTCCGTCTGTAGCAATACTTGCAAGATTTTTATCAACAAACGAACTTCCAACGCAATCCAGAATAATATTAGCTCCAGCGCCTACATTTGAAGAAAAACAGAAACGCGGTTATACTGTTTACACTAGGCGTAAAAAAATACCTGTGGTTCCGGTTTCATATCGTGAAAAAATTAGGGTCGGTATAGGTCGGAAATAAGTTTTTTTTTTGAATATTTTTTTCATGGTTTTGGCAGTTTTTTGCTGGGCGATTTGCAGTAGAGTCCCAACATCAATATTAACTAGAGATGCGTATTTCCTATGGACGAATTTAGGCAATTTGGTTCAATAATTAGTGTGACAACAGACGCCATTTTGGCACGCTGTACGAGCAGCCCGCAACCACCTGGAGAAAATAGGGTCGCACGGTCAATCGCGTTGAAAAAATAATAGGGTCGGCAGAAAAAAATAGGGTCGGTCGGGAACCGGAACCACAGGTATTTTTTTTTTACGCCCTATATTACTATCAAGTATGCAATCTTAAACTCAATTACATAATATTTATAAACATTCAATTTTAGTTATTAGAGTTAAGCTTAATTTTACAGTACATATTATTGTTAATATGTACAGTAAGCTCAGGATAGAAATGCGCACGCCGACACGACGTTTCCAACGTTTACATGTATATGGTAGAAAAATTACCATTTGTTTTCTTAAGCACCATCTCCGAGAAATCCTCGTTCTTGTAGTTGGCAGTTCCCTCTGCTCCCATCTTTTCTGCCATGTCTAATTTTTCCTGTGATCCTGCAGTGGCTAATGCCCTAGCACCTGCAAGTTTGGCCAGCTGTATCGCTGCAGTTCCCACTCCACTCCCTGCCGCGTGCACCAGCACACACTCACGCGACTTGACACCAGCTAATAGATGTAGCAGTTGGTAAGCAGTGAGCCACACCTCTGGAATGGCAGCGGCATCCGAGAGAGCAAGATTTGCCGGAACTGGCATAACTAATGCTTCATTAACAGACACAAATTCTGCATACCCACCACCTTTCAATATGAAAATTAATTTATATATTAGCTTTAATCTTGTTCTACCATTTTGGAAATAGTCTGCCAAGTTAGCAAGACGTCTTGAAAAAATAGTTTACCAGGTTAGCAAAACGTCTTGCACGAAATAGTCTACCACAATGGGGGAGGGAGGGGGGGAGGGGGCTGCAGCCCCCAATAATTTTCAAGTCAGGCAAATTGTACTTAAAAATCGGGCAGACTCTACCGTTCACGACAGGAGGCGTGGAGATGTATACAAAAGGGTATGACCAACCGATTAGATGGAAAGACCTATAAAAGAACTACATTCTATATACAGACGGTTTATCACCTGAGTGTCAGTGAAACACCATAAGCTGGACAATCCTTTGAGACTCATATACTTATACAACATTGGCTGCGTTTTACAACAAGTCAAAGTTCCTTCCTGACATACTGTACAGTACTACAGTACTGCCAAGAAATAACTTATCAAAAACCGCGTCCAAGACGCGGGTATCTTGCGTCCACTGTGCGTCCACGGGCGCCCGCGTCCGTCCTGCCGGCGCCGTGCGTCCATCGTGCGTCCACTGTGCGTCTGCGGCGCTTGCGTCCACTGTGCGGGCGCCATGCGTCCGCTTTGCGTCTGCGGGCGAGGACGATGATGATAAACTTTATTTAACCACGCTAACATTGTCAGCTAAAGCTGGTTTCCACAATGGGCGTGTGAACAAAAGTAAATTTACAAGAAAAAAGATAAAGGTAGTAAGAAATTACATGCATATATGTGAAAAAGAAAATATACTATATAATATACGTTAATTTACTATTTACATTCATGCTTTAATAAGAATGGGTAGCGATTTTCCTTTCGAAAATTGATAGCGTTTTGCTTTCTCTAATAATTTCTTGCAAAGAGTTCCATATGACAGCTCCGTCATACATGAAACTCTTTTTTAAACTGTTCGAACGTGGCTTTGGCAACCGTAATGTGGTCGAGCTGTCACGTAGATTATGATTCAATATTTCATTTTTTTTGAAAATGAATAAGTCTTTGAGGCAATTTGGCCCCATATTATGAAGTATCTTAAACATTGTTTTCGCTTTAGTTTTTAATCGTTGTTCTTTTAATGTTTTCCATCCTAATAAATCCAATACAGTTTGCTGATCAACATCGTTCGGTACACTTGCTATGATGCGAGCTGCTCTGTTTTGAAGCTTTTGCAGGCGTTTAGATTGGGTTTCGCCAAATACATCCCATACTTCAGAACAATAACTGAAATAGGGTTTGATCAAAGCATTGTAT